AAGTTGTTACATTGGTGAATGTCTTGGTGTGTATATTTTCACCACAATAAAAGGAAAATTAAATTTGATAAAAAGAGCATGCTGCTAAAGACTTCAAGAGTTTTGAATAAAATGATGTAAATACATTTTTACCCTAGAAGCCACTGCCTTTCTGTTTTTGTTGTTGATTGCCATTGATTCCACTCAGATCATAGTGAATCTATGTATGACTGACTGAAATGTTGCCTGCTTCTGCACAATTGTCATGATTATTGGTATGGTTGAGTCTATTATTTTGGTTATTTTATCAGTCTTCCTAGTTTCTTTTACTCAGGAAGCTCCGCTGAGTTTTGTGCATCATGGGTGATCCTGCTGATATTTGAAACACTAGTGAGACATCCAAATGACCAAAAAGTTTAAGTCATCGCATACATTACATGTATGTGATATTAATAGTGTTATTTGATCTTTTCCACATTCTGTTGGATCATCTTTCTTTGGTAAGTGCACAAATATGGATCTCTTCCAGTCTGTGGGATGGATAGAGATCTCCCAAATTTCTTGGCATAAATGAAAGAGCATGTCCACTTCTGTGTCCTTTTCTTGAAATATTTCAGTGGAATACAGAAACTTCTTAGTGGCACAAATATTAGTTCAAAAAATGGAATCAATTTTGACTCATGCTGACTCTTATGTGGTAAGTAGAACTGCATTCAATAGTATTTTTAAGGATGTGAACTTTCAATAGCAGTTGACAGACCTGTCTTCTAAAGCACCATGTGTGGCTTTGAATGACCAACTTTTTTAGCTAGTAGCTACCATTTAATGATTTACAACACCTACTGACTCCTATAAAGAGCTTTTATTGTTGTTGGTTGTCATTGAGTAGGTTCAGTCTCATAGCAATCCCATATACAACTGGAGGTAACACTGTCAAGACCTGGGTCAGACTCAAATTTGTTGTGATAATTGAGATGTCAATTTCAGCCATTGTGTCAAACCATCTCATTGAGTTTTCTTTTCACTTGTCAGTTTACTTCATCAAGCATGATATCCTTCTCCAAGAACTCGTTCTTTCATATAACATGATCAAAGTACGAGACATGTTGTCTGGCTATTCTCTCTTCTATAACATTCAGTCTTTACTTCTTCCAAGACATATCTGCTCTTTCTTCTGGCAGTCCATGGTTTATTTAACATTCTACACCAATCCTATAATTCAAATTTCTTCTGTGGTCTTCTTATTCATTGCCCAGCTCTCAAGTGAATATCAGGTTTGGATCACCATAGCTTGGGTCAGACACACCTTCATTTTCAAAGTAAAGTCTTTCTTCTTTAATACAGTAAAGAGGTTTTTGCAGCATATTTTCCCAATGCCCTACACTGACTTATTGACTGCTACTTCCATAGGTTTTGATTGTGGATCCAGATAAATTAAATCCTTGACAACTTAATATTTTTTTCCTCCAATTATTATGGTGTTGCTTATGGGTCCAAGTCATGAACATTTTCGTTTTCTCTATGTTGAAGTGTAATCCATACTGATGTCTGCAGTTTGGATCTTCATTAGTAAGTGCTTCAAATCATCGTTAATTTCAGCAAGCAAGGCTGTGTCACCTGAATATTTCAAGTTGCTAATGATTCCTCCAATCCTGATGCTTCTTGGATTATTTGCTCAACATACACATTTATTAAGTATGATGAAGGGATACAAGATTGATGCAAACCTTTCCTGTTTTTAAACCACACATTATTCCCATATTCTCATTTTATCACTGCCTGTTGATCTGTGCATAGTTTTCTCATGAGCACAGTTAAAAGTTCTGGAATTTCCATTCTTTGCAATGTTATCCATAGCTTATTATGATCCACACAGTCAAATAACTTTGCAGAGGCAAAACTGCACAAGTAAGAATTTTTTTTTCTGTTATTCTCAGCTTTCAATCAACATTCATCTAATATCAGCAATGACATCCCTAGTCCCATGTTCTCTCTGATCCAGCTTGAATTTCTGTCAGTTACCTGTAAATGTGCTTTTGCAATTTTATTATTATTATTATTATTATTAGCAAAATTTTGCATGCATGTGATATTAATGATGATGTTCAATATTTTCCACATTTTGTTGGATCATCTTTCTTTGGTATGTGCACAAATATGGATCTCTTCCAGTATGTAGGATGGATAGAGGTCTTCCAAATTTCTTGGCATAGATGAAAGAGCATGTTTAGTGTTGTGTCTTTTTCTTTCAAATATTTCAATGGCAATTCCATAAATTCTCAGAGCCATGTTTTACTCAAATTCCTTCAGTGTAGCTTGAGCTTCTTTCTTGCATGCCATAAGTTCTTGATCATCAGTTCCCTGATGATATGGATGAATGTTGACCAATTATTTTTGGTACAGTGACAAAGTAAAAAATAAGTGGAGGGAGGAGGCAGACAGACCGGGAGGTCCGCTGGGGATGGTGGTGGTGTGGTTCAGAGCAGCTTGAGGGAGATATACCAGGAAGCTGGCCAGTGGCGGCCAGAGGTGTGGTTCAGAGCAGTTGGGGGAGGAGAAAGACCAGAAAGTGGGGTGGGAGGTGGTTTAGAGCAGTTGAGGGAAACCACGAAGTGAGCAGTGCAGTTTGAACAGCTGAGGGAGATGAGGAAATGAGACCAGTGGTTTGGAATAGCTAAGAGAGAGGAAGTTCTGGTGGTGTAGTGGTTAAGGCACTTGGCTGCTAACCAAAAGGTTGGTGGTTTAAACCCACTAGCTGCTCTGTGGAAGAACGATGAGGCACTATGTAAAGATTTGCAGCCTTGGAAACCCAACAGGGGCCACTAGGACTCAGAATGGACTTGATGGTACTGACATTTTTTGGTTTTGTTTTCATTTTACTTTATGATGTCAAGGCTAGACAGGGGAGGTTCTTTAAATCACTGTTATGAGTTTCCATCTGGTTTTCTTGTTAGGATCTTCCAATAGTGATTAGTAAAGTGCTCTAATAATCAGTACATTTTCTTCACATCTTTTAGCCTTTGATGTGGCAGCTGCTTTCTGCAGTTTTTATCTCTGTATTGCCACATTTTCCTTTTTGCCTTCCAGTACTTGTTTAACTATTTTCACCAATTTTCAGTATTAAAAAGTCTTCATAATGCTTTTCATTCTTCACTCCTGAATGATAAATTCTGTATGGGGAAGAAAGGTGTTTGTGAAGTGTCTAAAATTGGAATATTACAAAATATGTTCAGAAAAAGAAAAGGAGCAAGAGAAACTCATTGCGGTAATGAAATTGAAATAAGCCCATCTAAGTAGTTCAGGAAAATTTGTGTCAGGGTGGTATCCTTTCACCATATTTATTCATTCTGTATACTGAGAAAATCATCCAACAAACTGAACTTTCTGAAGAAGAAGATTACATGAGGATTGGAGGAAAACTCATTAACCATGTAGGATATATGGATGACAAAACCATGCCTGCCGAAGGAAAAGAGGACTTGTAGCACTTACTGAAGAAGGCCAATGACCACAGTCCTCACTTTGGATTAAACCTCAACATAGAGTGAAAGAAAAATCTCACAACTGAATCAATAAACGAAATCATGCATATTGATGTTTATAGATTAACAGAGAAATGATTGAAGTTGTCAGGGATTTAGTTTTACTTTGATCTCAATAAATGAGTGAGAGTTATGAAATCAAATGATGTATTGCACGGGGCAAATCTATTGCAAAAGATCTATTTAAAGTGTTGAAAAACAAATATATCACTTTGAAGACTATGTTTTTCCTGACCCAAACTGTGGTACTTTCAATCATCTCATATGCATTCATATTCTGGACTATGAGTAAGGAAGACCAAAGAGGAAT